TTGTTATTCTTATATTTGCTAATATTATTATTTTTTATTATTATTATTACTATTGTTATTATTATTATCAGCATTGTCATAATTATTATCATTATTATGATTACTGTAATTATTATATTATAGTCCTTATTATTGTTATTATGATGATAACGACGATAATGATGATAATGATTATAATTAGTCATTATTATTGTTATCATCATCATCATCATCATCATCATCATCATCATCATCATCATCACTATTGTTATCATCATCATTGTTATTGTTATTACTATTATTACTATTATCATTATTATGACTGTAACTTTTAATCATTATTACAGATAATAATTATTGTAGTTATTGTTTTTTTTGTTGCAATGCAAGCTGCCCATATTAATCCCCCCTGAGCGCACTTAAATGAAAACTCTGCTTAAAAGTTACATTGCATGGGGTGGTTGCATAGAAGGATTAAGGAGGAATGAATATAGTCTGTTTGCTTTTTAATAAACAATTATGGCTGATCTTTATTGTCCATTTATATGTGTATATGTCGATGTTTCTTTTTTCTTCATCTTCTTCTGAGAGGAATAACACGAATATTTAAACGGTGCTCTTTCATTGGCTTAAGTTTGCAGCGACACGGGAGACGCTTGTTGCAATCCGAGTCACACATGCCAAGATAGTTTACACTGGTTTTGATAAACTGTTTGATAAGCCTGATGGGCGGGGGGGGTAGAGACAGCCACAGTCAGGCTGAAACTGAGATAGGAAGACAGATAGATAGACAAAAAGGAAGTTGGTAAGAAAAAAATAAACAGATATAGATAAACAGAATGATAGACAGACAGAAACAGAGACAGAGACAGACAGGCAAATAAAAAATCGAGAGAAAGGTTGTGGGAGATAGACACAGTGGAAGTGAGAAAAAAAAAGAAAACGAAAGAAGAAAAAAATAAAAGCGTGATAGCGAGCTCTCTAACTCTTTCTCTTATGTGTTGCAGGTGCTGGACAAGGACCGGGAAGGACTGTCCCGGATGAAGAAAGTCGTCAAGAGCCTGGGGGCGAATGGACAAGGTAATGTTGCATAATTCTTTGTGATGTCGCCTTTATGTATCATTTTCTTTGGGGCATTGTATGTCATAATTTGAATGGATGATATACCATGCTGTAATATTATACCGTTTTATACTCCGTAGGTACGTTATAATATGTAATGATAAGGTACTATAGCGCAACGTATTACTTAATGCGACAGAGCACGTGATGTAGCATTTCACAGTGGAAGAGTACAGATCGAACGGCCTCAGTATTAGCATATTCCCGTGGCTCGTTTAAGGCTTTGGATCTCATCGCACGCCTTGGATCTTCTTTTCCTCCTCCTTGTCTTCCTTCTCTTCCTCCACCTCTTCCTCCTCCTACTCCTCCCACTCCTCCTACTCCTTCTCCTTCTCCTCCTCATTTTCCGTCGCTTCATCTTCCACCTCATTCCGCTTCGTCAGTTGCTCTGTCTTTGTCTGTTCGTCTTCATCTACGCCACCCACCTTTTTCATTCCTCTTTTCCCTTTCTTTCTCTTCCTCTTCTTCATCTTCTTATCCCCTTCCTCCTCCTTTCCTCCCTCCCTCCCTCCCTCTCTGCCTTTACCTGTTGCGTCTCCTCTACTCCTCTACCCCCCCCCCCCTCTTGTTCCCATTCTCGTATCTCCCCCCAACTCCTATTCCTCATTTCACCTTCGCGTCTTCCTCCACCTCCTCATTCTCCTCCTCCTCCTCCTCCTTCCTTCTTTCCTTCCTTCTTTCCTTTCTTCCTTCCTTCCTTCCTTCCTTCCTTCCTTCCTTCTTTCCTTCCTTCCTTCTTTCCTTCCTTCTTTCCTTCCTTCTTTCCTTCCTTCCTTCCTTCCTTCCTTCCTTCTCCTTTCCTTTCTCCTTTTCCCCTTTTCTCCTCCTCCCCAACTTCGCTCTTCCTTCCTCTTCTCCTCCCCCTCCCCACTCCCTCCTACTCCTCCTCCTCCTTTACCTCCTCCTCCTCTACCTCTTCCTCCTTCCTCCTCCTCCTCCTCCTCCTCCTCCTCCTCCTCCTCCTCCTCCTCCTCCTCTCCTCCTCCTCCTCCTCCTCCTCCTCCTCCTCCTCCTCCTTCCTCCTCCTTCTCCTCCTCCTCCTCCTCCTCCTCTCATCCCCTCCTCTACCTCCTCCTCCTCTACCTACTCCTCCTCTACCTACTCCTCCTCTACCTCCTCCTCCTCTACCTCCTCCTCCTATACCTCCTCCTCCTCCTCCTCCTCCTCCCTCCTCCTCCTCCTCCTCTTCCTCCTCCTCTACCTCCTCCTCCTAACCTCCTCCTCTCCCCCCCCCATCCCCCACCCCCCTCCCTCCCCCTGTTTCTCTTCTGTATCACAATATGGCTGTATTCATGAGCTCATTTGCCTCAAAACATCACCACAATCGCACCTAATGAAAAAAGGTACTGTAGATAGGAAGAGTAGCAACCCGTAGAGGTCTTATCCTGTGAAGCCAAGGGGCACCGAAGGCCAGAAGTCCTCACACTCTAGTTATCCTTTGCAGCTTACGTGGGCTCAGAGGTGGACATGAGTGATGCTCTCAAGAGGCTGGGTGAGATTGGAGGGCGGCCGGAGGACAAGAACCTGAGCGAGGCCTTCCACAAGTTCGCAGTCGTCATCAGGGAACACTCTCAGCTCCTGCAGCAGCTGGTGAGTCAACAAGAGAGTGATGGGTGATTAGGTGTGTTGTGTGCGTCTGTGTGAGTGTAAGTGTTTATGTATGTTTAAGTTTGTGAATATTTGTTTGCTTATTAGGGATGGGGTTACCCAGTAGGCTACCCATCTGTGTATCTGTCAGTGTTTTTATACATCTGTTGGTGTGTGTGTATGTGTGTGTTATTGTCTCTATCCATTCATTTGTGCATGAGTTTAAATGTTTTTGCAAAAGCATGTATGCTTACTTGGGGGTTGATTTATTTATTTATTTTATTTATTTATTTTTTTATTTATTTATTTTTTTTCCCCTGATATGTATTCTAACTCTCCCTCTTGATCAGTCATTCCTTTTTACTTCTTTCTACTGTATCCTCTTTGCTTTCTCATCTCACCCTCCTCTACTGTCTTTTCACACACTTCCTTTCTTTATCAAACCCTTTCTTTCCCCATCCCTTTCCTTCTCTTTCCATCCCTTTTTCTTCCTTCCTTTTCATTGTGATTCTCCTTCACTCAGTCTTTGCATTGGTCTTTGCAGATCATAAATCAGCGCAACAATTTGCTCCACCCTCTTGATGGCGTCCTGAAGGGTGACCTCAAGGGTGTAAAGGGTGACTTGAAACAACCCTTTGATAAAGCAGCCAAGGTTTACGATGCAAAATTTGCAAAAATAGAGAAGGATAAAAAGGCACAGGTGAGTTGTAGTAACAGGAAGATGTTTTTGTCAAATAATTTTGGTGTCAAGGACTCAGTTTTGTGTAGATGGTATATGTAAAGTTTGATTCATTTACCATAAAGAATATTTCTTTTTATTTATTTTGAATTGAAGAACATTGAAAGAAATTGTATGGGATGAAGTGCTGTTTACCAAAATTATGATCACTTGAACCATATTCATGTTGACAAATGTAGAAAAGGTATGATTGAGAATGAATATCTTCACAATACATCTTCTCATTCATACTTCCTTTATAATCACTTGTTTTACCACAGTTACTGCTTTTCTTTGCAAAATGTCACTTTAATTGAATCATGGTAATATATATGTAGATGATTATATAACCGATTAAAGATATACATATACAATTGATATATTCATTACAATTGTATGAAAGCATTTTCTATTTTCCCAGTAGAATTATATATGAAAAAATAATTTATCAGAGTTTTTCATTTTATAGTGTCATTATTCAGAGTTGAAATTACAATTGAGTGAATCAGTGAGAAATTATCTGCAGGGGTCTTTTGTCTTTTGGCATATATTCACATTAGATGATAATGCAGTTTAGCACACTTTATAGAAGATAATGTGACTGATTTTTTAATCTCTGCAGGCAAAGGAAGCAGGTTTCTTTAAAGTAGAAGTTGATGCTGCAGAAGTTGCTGAGGAGATGAGTAAAGAAAGAAAAATGTTTCAGCTTCAGATGTGTGATGTAAGTACTAAAGTAGAGAACATATGCAGAAAAGAACTCTGCTATTTTACTGCAAAGATAAAATATTTATTTACTCTTTCTGTCATATTTCACAACTTAATATATATTTTTATTTTATTTCAGTACTTGATAAAAGTCAATGAGATCAAGACAAAGAAAGGAGTTGATTTCTTACAAAAGTTGGTAGAATACTACCATGCATATTGCAAGTAAGTTTAAGAACAAGATGATAATTATTAGAAAATAAAAGCTTCTTCAGTAATTTTCAATCTTTTTTGTTGTAACCAGTATTTGCCAGATGTATTGGGGGATGAGAAAAAGCTTTCCAGACTGAAGTGATTGTTCATGGGAATATGCCTATAATGCTTTCACACTGTCTGTCATTAGACTTAATAATAATTGTATCTGAAGGAGCATATTAGGGATTGTAGCTTTAGGAGTTGGTTCTAATGGCAATTTTTTTCATAGTGATGATTTGATTAGCTAAAGTGTATGACAAATTTTGCAGATATTTTGAGGAAGGAATGAAGACTTGGGCACACTTTGGCACATATGTAACAGAGCTGAGTGAAAAGCTGCGTGATGTAAGACATAGACAAGAGGAGGAACGGCGTCGTCTGCTTGCAACTAGGAAGATTATCAGCAGTTCCCTTTCAGCAGAAGCTAAAACAGAAGTAAATGATGTTTTTTTACCTGCAATTTGTTTCTTGTTAAAACTAAATTGAATAACGTGGAATGATAAATTGCATGGTAGATGTCTTTAGTAATTAAATGAAGCTGTTGTTCATCATCAAAGATACTCTCAGTGTAATTCAGATCTGTAGAGACATGGTATGAGATTACCGAATCGTCTTTCCAGAAGGGTTGCTATAAGGATATTAAGTGCCCTTGCAGCTGCTTAATATTTGTAAAAAAAAAAATATCTCTGATAGTGTCATGCCAAGATGAAGTATACTTTACTAAAATTAATTATTTGATTTAGATTTGCTAAATGAGTACTGCATAGTGTTTTTGTTTTGCCATCATTTTTATCATTTTTGCTGAATTCTTCGTAAAGGATTCAGTGGGATAGAAATTTATTTATTTATTTATTTATTTATTTTAATATACTTTCATAAACCCTGTTATTTTCTTTTGCTAACCTGCAGCATATGATGGTAAGTTAAAATGTCAGAATTGATGGTTTTGGCAGGAATTACCTTGCTATATATGTTGTTGTGCCTGTGTGATTAACAGTGTTAGAAAGCACAAAGTCAGTTTATTAGTTGTAACTACAAATGAAAATTTTAGAGAATACTAGATGAGTCTTGACCGTAAGGGAGTTAATTACTAGAATAATATAATAAACTGCAGTCTCCAGAAATTTCATTTAGATTATGTTTATATATTCTAAAAGTTTGATGGAGCTTATTTTATTTATCTTTCAATCAAAATTTAGTTAAATGAGTTTCAAGAATTCAGTGATTTATCCTTTTTTAATCAGTGTCATGTTATCTTAAGTAATTAGAGTTAGTAATCAGAGTACTTTAGTGTTATTAGAAAATGGGGAAAATATTTGGATTAAATCCCTGGGCCCAGAAATAAGAAAGAAAAAAAAAAACTAATGGTAAAGGAGTAAATGAGAAAATCATGATTTGAATAAATTATTACAGACTTCTGGTAATGTAACTTATAAGCTTATCGTGAAATTGAATATATCAAGTTAAACTGTCCTTGTTTTCAATGAATAAGTAGTCACACTTGTATAATGCATGTCCTATTCAACTTGAATTGAATATTGTAAATGTGTCATAAAGAATATATGTATATATATCTTTCAGGTGAAGTAGCTTGAAAGTTTCCTCTTTATGATTATTACCAGTATTATAGTAAATGTATTTTAAATTACAATAGTAGATAGTTTAGCTCATTTTAATGCTGTCTTTAGTAATAATGATGAATACTCTTTTCACTTCAGCTATTTGTATATTTGCAATCATTAATTGCCCCTCCTCATTAGCTAGAAATTTGAATTGACCCTATGTAACTGAACACAGTACACCCTGGATCAGCTCAAAGCAACATATTCTAACCACTGCAGCACATTTCAACTTGTTCTCTGCTTTGGAAATACTTGTATAGGAAATGGTTATTCCAGAGAAATATGCGATAGAACTTGATTAGCTTTTCAAAATGAGCACATTCTTAATGATATGCTATTATATCAAGAGTTCTCAGTTTGTGAGTGATGTAGGGAAGTCTGATGTAATAGTGTGATAATTTTAACAGTAATGAAGGGGTAGAAGCTGTCAATTAAATTTCCTAGATTTTCCTGTATAAAGCTAAATATAAAGGACTTTGGATTAGAGTATCTAGGAAGGGATGGTTTGCTTCTACTGTATGTTTGATGATTTTAGTAAATAGTTGGATAGATAATAGATGAAAGAGAGAGATATCAGGTGGCTATTAGTTTCTCCTTGCCATTCATTTGAAGGTTAAGATTATCATTCTGACACACTGACAAATATTGTATATGTGAAGAAAATGTATGAATGCTCTATGTATCATTCACATATAATGCACAGCATTTATGTATGAATTTCTGTATGGTAACAGTGCATATGGATATTATGTAGCCATAGGTACCTGTAGTCTTTATATATTCATTTTTTGCTGTGATAATGATATGTAAAATATCATTTCACAAACAACTTCTTGTGATTCTAAGATATAAACATCATTTTCCAGGTTGGAGTTGCACCACCAGGGTATTCCTTGCATCAGAAACAGGGTAACAAAATCCATGGCACAAACAAGATTGGTTATTTGTACAAAAAATCTGAAGGTACTTATATTATTGTTCATAGAATGTATTTTGTACCAATGTTTCCATAGACCTAGCATGACTCTCATTTGCTTATTTTTGTCATTTAAAATGCTTACTTTGTAAGTCAATGGTATTGTTGTTATATTCAAGTTAATACTAGTGTATATTCCCTTTTATAGAAAACTTTTCAACTTATTCACAGGTAAGATGCGCAAAGTGTGGCAGAAGAGGCGCTGTGAAGTGCGTGATAGTATCCTTTGCATCCATCACTCTGATGAGACCAAACCACCTGTTACTGTACCTCTGCTCACATGTCAAGTCAAAGCCAGCATGGATGATCGCAAATGTTTTGATCTAGTTTCCTGTAAGTAAATTATTTTATTTGGATACTATTTATTTTATTAGTGTGTGGATATTTATATGTTTTTTATTTGAAGATCAAAACCAAAACAAAAAACATTACTGATTATTATTGTAGTGCCATTACCAGCATATCTAATGCTATGATGTTGAATCTAGTGATTTACATTCATAATGTACTTTCTATTATTTTTTTAAAGAGTATTCTTATTAAATCAGATTGTGTTATAATACTTCATAGGCATAAACTGAAATAATCATTTTAGATAACCGGACATACCACCTGATGGGGGAGGATGAAGTAGAGGCGAGTGCCTGGATGTCAGTTCTTCTTAACAGTAAAGAGGGTAAGTTTCTCTCATGTGAATAGTACTTTGAGTGTCTCCCCAATATACAGTATCAAGATGTGCATTGAAAGTATATAATAATTGACTTAGCTGTTACTCTTGAATAGGCAGCTTATTAGATGCAAACTTTTAAAACTGATTATTGTTTTGTTATTTCATAGGTGCACTGCAGAAGGCATTGTGTGATGACACTCCAGGACCATCCCCAGCAGATTCAGGCTTCCGGGAACTGCAACAGCGAATTATATCTTATGTCAGGGGACTCCCTGGAAACAATTTGTGCTGTGATTGTGGTGGAACTAATGGTTAGTAGAAAAAAAGTTCACTAAGATGGTTTATTTAGATTTATCAGCTAATTTGAACAGACATTTATATTTTATTTTTTGGTTGGTTGGAAAGAAGATCATGTAAATTTTTCTGCATTTGAATTATTCAAATTGTTCAAGAAGTAATCTGAAAATTGTATTATGTTTTATTTGTTTGTGGAACCAAAATCATATACATATATCTGTATTTCATTGATGTTGTACAAGATGTAATTTGATGTGTACTGTCAACAGATGTCACCTGGCTTTCTACAAACTATGGCATTATGGTCTGTATTGAATGTTCTGGAATTCATCGAGATCTTGGAGTCCATGTTTCTAGAATACAAAGCTTAACCTTGGATAAGGTAAGAGCATATTTTTTATTTTTTCTCTTATCTAGTCCATATTTGGTGACTGAATAAAGATTATTTTATTGAAACTAAGAATTCTGTATTGTTGCATGTAGGTTCACTATTCTTTATGTTGTTCAATATGTTTTTTTTTCAAATGATAGACAATGTGTAGTTTATTAAATAAAACGTTTTATTAATTAACCTTTAAAGACAGTAGAGGTAATTTTTCCACATGATTTCCTTAAAATCTTCCAAAGGAATGACTATGCACTTTTTGTCTTAGGCATATAGGGGTTGAAGAGTAGCACTTCTGTTTCAAATATCTGTTTCCAGCTACTACAAAAATGTCATATGTAAATTTTGTCCACTTAAGAAATTGAATGTTTCTTTTCTATGTCGTAAATTTTAAAAAGAAGTTCATTAAAGTGTTAATGAATATGATTTCAGTTCAGTTTCACGAGACTGATAATTTTGAAATACTTGTTATCTACATATGATACTGTAAGTAGCCTGTTTCCAATAAATATGAACAATATATTTAATCATTTTTGCTTCCAGGTGGGGACAGCACAGTTACTCCTCGCTCGGCACATGACAAACAACTCTTTCAATGAAGTGACAGAAGCTACATCACCAAGAAAGCCAGAACCCACAAGCACTATGTAAGTTGCATTCAGAGCCTGTTTAATCTATAAATTGCTTCAATTTTTTCATCATTATTTCTTTGCCCCTTATCAGTTAGTTAAGATAAGAGTACTTGCAAATTGTAGGAAATTTTCTAAAGGTGAATTTTGTATGTATTAAGTCTTTTGTGCATCACCTTTTGTTTTGTATAAACTGCTATGGATTGTGATTGTTAGTTGATGTCTAAGTTTGTTTTACTTGTTAACATTGTACATATGTGAATAATAATTTTAAAAGGTGAATCATCCCAGAAAAGAACTAACTCTCAGCATCAGAAATCACATTGAGCTGAGTTGGAAAAATTCAGATATTATTGAACAAAACTGGAACATTTAGATTACCCTGTGTGGATCTTTGTGATCCCTTTGACAATTAAAACTCTTTTTATTCAGTGACTCACGAGAAGATTGGCTAAGAAGGTGGTGAGTACGGCACTCACTCTCAGCCGTGTCTCTGGGCAGCAGTAGGAATCAGAGGCAGATAATTTTATGATGAGCATTTTATGCAGTTATCATGTTATCCATAATATATTTGATAATATCATTTTAAAAAGATGTTCATAAAAGTCTTAATGAATTTGATCTCAAAATCAAGCATTCTCCAGTAGACAATTTTGTTCCTGTAAATGCACGTCAGTAACATGAATTATGATCACAGCCAGTGTCTTTGTAACTGATCTGCTTCTGAGACCCTTGTAACTGCTCTGTTAGTGTTCCATTGGTCACTCTGAGCATTGCATATTTTGCATGAAAGTAAGAATGTTTTTCAGATAGGAAAATTCTGTAAGATTATTTGTGAATTTGTCCTTTTTTTTCATTTATGTATAGAACAAGAGTTTACCAATGCTTCCAGAGTGACTATAGAGACAACTTGGTGCTGAAATGTTATTAAAAGCCATTTTAATTCCTTTGTTCTTATGGACTTTTAGTAGTAAATGTTAAGCTTAAGAAAACTGTAGAGTAAGCTCTTCAATAATCATTTATATATTTTGTTTTTACTTTGTATAGTTAACATTCTTTATTTTTTAGTTAAGCATGGTTCTGTATAGGAAATAGATATTGTGATTGTTCTAGATATATTGTTTTGTACTAAATTTTGTTTCTGTATTGTTAAATGACCTTAATTACCAGAATCAAGATAATCTTGAATGTGTCAGGGATATCTTTTGAGTTACACATTGAGGACAGGCCATTTTTTTATAATCATGATTGGTAATTATTGATACAGTTAAGATATTGTGATTGTATACATCTGTCTTTTGAATATTTTTATCAGTTCCCCTTAGCATTGTTAAAGATATGAATATTCAGTGAAAAATACAGTGCAATTTTTTGTTACAGTGTGAATAAAAGAATCAGAGAAGCAGAAAATGTGGGAATTGTTTATTAATTGAAGACCAGTATAAACATGTGCTTCTTTTTATTTTCCATATAAATGCACAGGTCATATATTTACAAGACTGAAATTTCAGGGATGAGAGAAGGGAGTTCATCCAGTCCAAATATGTGCGAAGGGCTTTTGTCCAACCAACCACAGAAAACCCTGAGGATCTTTTGGGGCAGTTGCGAGAAGTAATTGATAAAAATGACCTTTATGGCCTCCTACGTGTATACTTTCAGGTATGTGGGCTGTGTAAACATATATCCCAATAATGCAATTGAGCATACAAACTTGCAGAGTTTTAGTGAGATTTTTTCTGACTCTATGTATTTCTTCATGGTTTCTTTCAGGGTGCTGACTTAGGACTGCCTTTATCACCATTGGGAGAATGTGCTCTACATGTAGCCATCTATCAAGAAAATGGTGCCTCACTTCCCCTGGTAGATTTCTTGGTACAGAACAGTCATTCTCTGGATCGTCAGACTAAGGAAGGAAATACTCCCTTGCATTACTGTGTCATCTACAACAAACCAGAGTGTATGCGACTGTTGCTCAGAGTTGGTGCCAATCCTAGTATAGAGAATAATAATGGCAAAAATCCACAAGATATTGCTAATGAACGCAACTGCAGGCTCATGGCAGATATGGTAAGAAACTTTATTAGGTTAAGAAGACTTAATGTGAGATGAAGAGAGAGAGGGAAATGAGGGAGTGGGGAGATAAATAAAATAGAGAATGAGAAAAGAATAGAGGAGATGAAGTAAGGGAAGGGAGGGTGAGAAGAATTGATAAAAGTTACATTTCTAAGTCACTGAAACTAGTAATATTTTCAGACACCAGATATATAAGTATTTTTCAGAATGATAGTATTACTTGCCTGGACATGAGTCTTATTTTACTTGTTTTTTCATTGAGATGCTCAGAATCAATTAAATAGTAAATTATATAAATCAAGAGAAAGAGTTGGTACTTGGAGCTTTTTATTTTATTAATGTATTCAGATTGTTTTTATTATTAATCTATTTATATAGTCAGTGGAATTATTATTATATAGTATTAATGTGATTTCTCTACCTCTTCAGCTCAGTCAGGCTCAACAGCAGAAAAAGACAATGTTTGAAAATGTGGAATATGAATGGAATCTCTCGGATGACAATTTGACAGACGTCTCAGATGATGATGAAAATTTCAAAGTAAGTTCATGATAATTTTCATTATCATTCAGATGTGTATCATAGTCGGTTCATATAGTTTGAGTAAATGTTTAAATTATTTTCAAAGACTTCTACAACTTATTTTTACACTTCACATCATTTACCAGCAGAATGGTATGTCAACTCCTGAGAAGAAGAGCAGAAATAGACCAGTCAGTATGCCAGGGTCAGGTTCTCCTGGGTGCCAGCGAAGTGCTGACCATTGTGGCCTAGGAGATCACCGTGGTTTAGGGGACTACCGAGGCAGTGAGCATCGAACTTCCTCCTCCCGCTGGAGAGCTCAGCCACCACTTCCACCTCCAGTGACCAGTAAACCAATATGTTAGTATTCAGTGAATTTGATTTAGGTTCGACTACAGGAATATTATCTTCAGCACAGTATGACCCTTCTTTTGTGCCTGTTGTCAGGTTCTGTAAGAAAAAGTTGAATTGGAGGAGTCAAGTCATCAAAAATAATTTCCATAAAATTAGCTTCAAATGATTAGTATTTGATATTTAACTTATAGGGCCAGAATATGTGTCATGCTGGATTGCCACCACATAATGACAGTGCAGTGGTTTCTTGTCATACAGATGGCACAGAACTCAAAGTTTGATCAAGGACAGAACTTATATATCAATTCTCTTGATGTTGTGTTTGACACATGTAACATCAGTGTGCATTATTTTTCCTTTTTTGTGGTTCATAACTTGTTCTGACCATGAAGTTGAATGGTAAATTTTGAACTTAATTAGTTAGGTGTTTCTTTAATATAGACATGGCATAGGTTGTCCTGTTTATGACAAGTTATGTTCTACATCATGTTTACTTGTTGCTTACCTTGTATTGCAAAAGTTCATTCAAATTTTTATTTGTGTTTTTCAATATAACTGATTTCACTGCACATGATTAGCATCAAACTGACTGAAGCTCTTTCTTTTGATAAAATAATTGGTGTGTGTAGATGTTTTTTATGTATTTTTGCTGAAACTAAACAGATTTTAGATATCAGGTAACTGCATTAAGGAATTAGATGTATTTGATTGGCCATTTTTTTTCCAAGAGAGGATTCCATTGAATGATAAATCAGTATCTTTTTATGCTAAGAACCACTTAAGACCATAAATTGAGTTAAAATTTAATCTATTAAGGGGATAGATATCTGTGCATGGTATATGCTAATGATCTTTTCATGATGATAATTTACATTTTTAGGATAAATTTAGAAGACCAAAGATTGCAAAACAATTAACAGGACATATAATTAATACTGATAAAAGAAAACATTATTGAGAATGTTTCAGGTTTTATAAAACCTTAATGTATGGTTTCAGGATGCATGATTGTTATTTTTACTGTTAATGCTGTTGAAACCAGAGGGTTTGCATGGAATAATTCATACTTTCTAATCTAAATTGAATGTATAGGTCTTTTACATTTAAGGAGTGTTATCTTTAGAAAATTTACAGCATTCAAAAACTGAGCTGTTATCAACCCCTCTTCCTTTACTAGTGCCTCTCAGTGGTAACCTGCCAGAGACACTTCAGAAGCGGCCAGCACCTAAACCCCCCACTGGTGTATCCCACCCCTCATCCTTCTACTCCTCACGCTACTCAAGTCACTCCCGCACGCCCTCTGACCCTATGCTGGGACCCTCGCCTTACCACCCAGGCCTGCCTCACAACAACAACAACAACAACAGTGGAGGGGGTGGTAGCCTTGGGGGAATGGGGCACAAGAGGAGCCCATCAACTGATTCTAGTAATAGTGTGTTCTACCCTCAACCTTCTTCTTCTTCCAACACCACCACTACTTCCTCTGGGGCTACACGCTTCTCTCTTTCACATAACTTGCCCCCTGAGGCTAAGTCAGGTGAGGGGACTGGGTGCTTCTCCTCTTTGGCTTCTTTCTCTCTGCATCGGCTTGGTAGCTTTTAGGCTTCATCTGTCATAGTATTTAGAGAGGAAGTTTTTAGAGTTTTAGTTGGTAGAATGAGAAAAAAAAATAGAAGCAGTAAATAAGGTATTTGTGTAAGTATATGCATGCAGTAATTTGTTTTCATATATGAAGCATGAATTGATTATTTATATGTTTAACAATTATGTATTCAGCCATAATCATTTGCTCCATCTGCTTTCTTATAATGTGTATGCAGCTATGTATATATTTTTGGGTGGTAACTTTTGCCTTGCATTTAAGCTTTTTGATATTTTGTATGTAATGAAAATAATATATATGTTATATCCTTACTTTCTTTAAAGTTCAAAGAAATAAAATGTTAAGACTGAAACACTGAATTTTGTATGTAATGAAAATAATATATATGTTATATCCTTACTTTCTTTAAAGTTCAAAGAAATAAAATGTTAAGACTGAAACACTGAATTTTGTATGTAATGAAAATAATATATATGTTATATCCTTACTTTCTTTAAAGTTCAAAGAAATAAAATGTTAAGACTGAAACACTGAATTTTGTATGTAATGAAAATAATATATATGTTATATCCTTACTTTCTTTAAAGTTCAAAGAAATAAAATGTTAAGACTGAAACACTGAATTTTGTATGTAATGAAAATAATATATATGTTATATCCTTACTTTCTTTAAAGTTCAAAGAAATAAAATGTTAAGACTGAAACACTGAATTTTGTATGTAATGAAAATAATATATATGTTATATCCTTACTTTCTTTAAAGTTCAAAGAAATAAAATGTTAAGACTGAAACACTGAATTTTGTATGTAATGAAAATAATATATATGTTATATCCTTACTTTCTTTAAAGTTCAAAGAAATAAAATGTTAAGACTGAAACACTGAATTTTGTATGTAATGAAAATAATATTATATATGTCATATCCTTAATTTCTTTAAAGTTCAAGCAAATAAAACATAAAGACTGAAAAACTGAAAGAAGCATGTGTACCTCTTAATTTGATTAATCATATTGTATCAAATTAAGTGTAAGCTTTAATAATTGTTTGCTCTTTTCTGAAGCTGAACTCTTTATTCCGTGAAATTTTCAAACACTCATTTCTCCTTAAATAGCACTTTGAAAAATGATCTTTGAAATACGGGGAATTTTGTGGTATCTTCCCTTTGCAGATAAACTGAAAGCTTTTTTAATGAAACTTCCTTTCATATTCATTAGATGTGAACCCTAAATGGTTATATAATTTTTTTAAAGCTGAATAGCAGTAGTCCATTACCTGATATAAATAGAGAGCAAAGTGGCATCATTCTACTGTTTGGTATTGTAATCTAGTATTTTACATTAGATTTTATCAACCAAGCTGGATGAAGGGCAAATAATGGGAAAAGTCTTTATATTACTGGCCTTATATGGAAGGATGGAGGAGATGAATAGAGTGAGTTCAGTTAATTTATACATATGTTAAAATCAAATATGTTATTATATTCATGTAAACTTAATATGAAAAAGAAAACATTCTTATTTTGAATTAATATTTACCAAAGGGTTATAGATTGCAGCAAGTCTACACATGCTAAAGTTGCAAAAGAGACCGTTTTTTTTTTTGTAAAATAGTTTACTTTTACTTGAACTGTAAATTAAATGTTCTTCCCCTATAAAATTTTCATTCATCTATGTCTTTGAATATATTTCTTGTGCTCTATTTTTTTTAACTTCGAAATCTTTAAGAATCTGGTTTCCTTACAGTGTTATTGATTTTCTTGCTTTTTTCCTTCCCTCAGTAAATTGATTGTGATTTTTCCCTTCCTCCCTCTTTTTCTCCTCTTCTGCCTCCCTCTCTCTTTCCCATTTCCTCTCCCTCCTTGGTTTCCTCCTTAGCTACAACTTATCTGTTTCCTTCCCTTCCATTTTGTTTTCTGACTCTCCTGCTATACTTCTATATGATTCTTCTTTCTTGTTTCCCTGCTTGCATGTCATCCATCTTACATGTAATTGTAGTTCATATCAGATTTTAAGATTGCTTAACTATAACTTCTGAGACTTTTAAGTGGCTAATGCTTTTTGCCTTTAATTATTGTTCTTTGTTGGAGAAATAACATTGTATACTATTGTAATAAATCCAGTCTAATTTTTTGTCGGAAGACAAATTTTTAAATGTCAAAATGTGTGTAAAATACAATTTTAACATGAAATTATAAAAACAGTCAAAGGATGGAAATGGTTAAAAGGTTTTGTTACAGTAAACTTACCATACATTTTTATTTCAGGTAGTACAAGTGATGGCAGATTATTGGACACAGACACATCTCCTTCATCATCTCCTCAAGAATCTCCAAATACCTTCATTAATGGAAGATCCACAGAATCTCTTTCTTCTCTTGTCTCAGATGACCCACGTCCTCCCCCAAGAAGGGTAAGTTAAGAATACTTTTGTATACATTTACTGCTTATAGTAGGTTGTTTGTGTAGTGGGTGTGAAGACAGACAGACTTCGTTTATTAGTAACTGAATGTTCATATGATTTTATGCTTTACAGAGAATGGGTTCGGTGCGTCAGCGAAGATGTCAGGCACTTTATGACTGTGATGCAGATTTAGATGATGAATTGAGCTTCACTGAGGGTGAAATAATAATTGTGTTGAAAGCAGAAACAGAAGATGGAGATTGGATGGAAGGCATGATAGAAGGCCAACCCAACCGACGAGGAAAAGTGCCCATAAATTTTGTTCACATGTTGACTGACTAGAACGAACTTACAGTGGAGCCATTTGTTTTATGGCCCATGGCTCAGAATCTGTGTAAGCTTATGAAAAATTGTTTCAAACCATAGCTCAAATGTTGATAAATATAATACTTGTGCACTTTGGGAACACTGTGAGGGAAAAGTAGTGACCACATTTGGTGCTGCAGGTATTCTCCATTCCGTGTACCGGTGCTTTTGACAACTGATCATAATACGTGTGGAGTTGGGAAATGGTGGACATCTTCCAGATTTGTTATAATTAATAATAATCTTCCATTGATAGTAAGATAATATGAGCCTTGATCTTCATATTTTTTTCTTACATAGTAATGGACAGTGATTATTAAATGTAAGTCAAAAGGCATGTCTTTATGCTCAGTGGCTGTACAGATTTGAATTCATCTGTTAGGTTCCTTTATTCTAACATGTTTTAGCACAAATGAAGTTTTTACCTACAGCCCCTGTACATTAGATTCATAAATGATGTTTATTACTTGTAGACTATTTCTTACTTGAACATGTGGTTTAAGTATCTTTTTTTTTAAGGAACATTATTTTAGCATTCCATGTCTTGTCCTGTGTCACATATTCCTTTTCTAGTAGCATTTGTTTTTCCATTCCATGATTTTCAGTGTTAGAAGATAATGTACAAATAATAAGATAAGTGTATTATTATTATAATTTAAACCATAGAACTGCCACAGTGTTTTATGAGGTCTTTTATACAGATCTCTTTCTTATTTTCATGAAGCATACAACTTCACCATATGGACTGTTTGATTGAAAACCAATGCATGTCTAGTTGTTTATCTGAAGTGAAAACTGTTTTCCAGGCTTTGGAAAGAGGAATCCAAAATAGTTTGGAATCTTTACTTTGATCTTTGATAACTAAGAGACTTGAAAAAACTCTGTAAACCTGATGATTTATGGACAAAAATTTATAAGCCAGAATATGTGCACATTTATTTGTTAATAATACTGGTAAATACTGTATTTAATTTATTTATGTATTAACCATATGGCTGGAGTTTTCTTAGTTTTATTACTAGTAACAGAGGAAGTGAAAAGTTTTTGTTCAGTTATTTGTTGAATTTAATATGTATAGTTACATTCCTGATAACAAGATAACAAAACTCAGGTTTAAATATTTGCTGAAAAAAAAAACATTTTGATCCATAATACAGTGACCCAACCAGTTCGTCTTAAGGAATACTAGTAGCCAGGTAAAATTTCTTTGATTTACCACAAAGGAGCAGACATATTTTTATTCATTTTTATTTGATTGAGGCACTTTTTATATTAAAAAGTGGGCAAAGAGAACTATATTGGGGAAGTAAGAAATTTCTTGGCTGTTTTCAAAATCCTGTTTAATATAGGCTTAAAGAATTCATACCTTTTTCAGTTTGATATTATACATATATATGTGTATGTGTGCCTGACTTGTTTATCTGGATAGGTATGTGTGTAGGTATATGTGGGTGTGGCTGCATCATTGTGTGGGTTCTCACATATATGTATGTATTTGCATATGTGAGTGCCTGCTTATATTGGTGTGTAGCTGTGGATTGATACAAATATGTGTGCGTGTGCGTGTGCGTGTGCAAGTGTGTGTGTGTGTGAATATATACTTTCGTATTTCAAGTAGGGATATGTTGATGCATGAATGTGCATGAGCATGTGCATTTCCATATAAAATTTGCATATGTGTGTGTGTGACTTTCGTATTTCAAGTAGGGATATGTTGATGCATGAATGTGCATGAGCATGTGCATTTCCATATAAAATTTGCATATGTGTGTGTGTGTGTGTGTGAATATATACTTTCGTATTTCAAGTAGGGATATGTTGATGCATGAATGTGCATGAGCATGTGCATTTCCATATAAAATTTGCATATGTGTGTGTGTGTGTGTGTGAATATATACTTTCGTATTTCAAGTAGGGATATGTTGATGCATGAATGTGCATGAGCATGTGCATTTCCATATAAAATTTGCATATGTGTGTGTGTGTGTGAATATATACTTTCGTATTTCAAGTAGGGATATGTTGATGCATGAATGTGCATGAGCATGTGCATTTCCATATAAAATTTGCATATGTGTGTGTGTGTGTGAATATATACTTTCGTATTTCAAGTAGGGATATGTTGATGCATGAATGTGCATGAGCATGTGCATTTCCATATAAAATTTGCATATGTGTGTGTGTGTGTATATGTGTGTGTGTGTGTGTGTGTGTGTGTGTGTGTGTGTGTGTGTGTGTGTGTGTGTGTGTGTGTGTGTGTGTGTGTGTGTGTGTGTGTGTGTGTGTGCGTGTGTGCGTGTGTGCGTGTGTGCGTGTGTGCGTGTGTGCGTGTGTGCGTGTGTGCGTGTGCGCACTCGCGCATGTGTGTGTGTGTTTGTCTGTGTGTAATGTTTAGGTATTTGTACATGTATATGCATGTGTAAATATATTAACTTAAATTTGTGTCTATAGTAAGCCATTTGATTTGAGAAGGGACATACTTACACATAAAAATGTCACAAAATGTCTTCCTTTTGAAAGGCTCCCCACACAGTCTACCACAAATGGTACAATGATGTATATATGAAGTAAATATATTATTGATTATATATGGGTGTTACTTCATATTGAATTTTAACTTGACTGTTATGAAAATAGTTTAGCAGAAATTCTAAAAGCCATTTACATGATCTGGCCACCTTTTTAAGGTGTAAATTGATGTATTAGAGTGCAAGAAAACTTGGGTATCAGAATATGTATATAGTTTGGTAATATGATGTACAATGGTTATGAAAGAGTTTCAAAGAAATGATGCAGTCCTCATGTAAGATATTCTATGTAAATATATATATCGTGTGTATGTATATATATATATATATATAAGTATATATATATTTGCTTTTGTGGCAAGTACTGCACCCCCTTTAGTCTAGTTTCCAGAAGCCAGTGTCAGTCATGTAGATATAGTCTGTGAGTATATTTTAGCTTCATCTTGATTTGTAAATATATGATAGTCATTTGACAGATGAATATTTGAAATTTAGAAATGGGTTAGTGTGCCCCTTCTGGAAAAGATATAATTGCTTTATGGTTTCTTATGAGTGGTGTTCAACTGAGAACGTATACTGCTTTTATTGGAGTGTTATGTGGAAACTGTGTTAGTGAACTGTAACAAGGTGATCTTCAAGTCCTTTGTATTTCATCTGTTGATATGCATGTTTTACTGACTGTTTTAAAGATACAGGTTAATTTTCAATCTCTACATTAATGAAATATTTGGAGTTGTTGAATATATGCTATTTTATTTTGATTATGATATGATCACTCTTATTTTTAACATGGAGATAATATTTGTAATGCAGTTCAATGGTATAGAGATAAAAGATTTTAGGGTGATGTCTCTGAAGGCATTAGAACACTTATGCTGTGGAGAACATTATCAAGCAAGTTAGATTTGGAATATATTGATTATTATGAAGCACTTCTATCACCGACTAGCACTCAGATCAGATTTTCTCATCTGCTTCCATGAAATAATGCTTTGACTTCATGTATCTTCCCAAGCAGTTAAGAAATACTTTATTAAGAGAGCAATATTTAGTCATTATTGAAATGAGTTTCTGTTCACAGATGTGTTGGTGTGCAGATTTTATTGTCTAGCTTTATGTTCGTGCTCTCTGTGTGTACTGGTCACATTCTGTAATTTATTTGTAATGGTTCACCGTAAATACATCAATACATTATTTTATATGTATTTTCTTTGATATTCCTTACCAGCATATGATTGTAAGTTATCTGTTATTTAGTATTTTTGTTGTATTCTTTACTAAAGTAGGAAATCATAATTGATAATAATTCAGTAACAGGGCATTACTGAAGCATTTGATTTCTGAAGACCATAATGTAAAAAAAAAAAAAGAAAAAAAAAAGAAAAAAAAAGTTATGCCATCTTCAGCAATATATTGTATCCATACCATGCAATTGAAAAACTCTTGTCCAGAAGCTTACTAGTTATTGCAGTATTCTGTATTAACGCATCAATTACTAGGCCTACCTGACCTCACCTATTGTCTTTATCCCTTGAATTTCAGGAAAGGATTTTTTTTTCATTACAATTATCATAGTAATCATGACATCATCAGTAATAATAAGATCACTGTAATGTTATTTATAACAGAGATGATAATAATGATAACAAGAATGATAATAATAAAAATTATATTTTTATCTCTACAAGGATTGTAACAGACAAGAGCACCAGGTGCTAGATTGAGATGGCCTCAAATGTCACCTCAATTATAACTGAGTTTGAGACAGATACAGATTTATGCTATAAATTTTAATGTGGCTTCCCCCTCTAAAATTATTAAAAATTATATCTAAATGATCTTTGTAGCCTGCATCCTTGACTTCATTTTGGTCCAGTGGTGCTTGAGGTCTCTGTCTCCCTGCCTGAAATGGCTATGAAACAGTAAAAACATGAGTAGGAATACAAAACCAAAATGGGCAAGAACTTTACATTTAAATGACTGCCAAAAAGTCTCACAGGCTTCATGAACTCAACTGTGTCCAATACCAAATAATGATGCTCTATTATTGTAGATACTGCTTTTTTCAGCATCAAAATATGAAGAGATAGAAAATAAAAAATATTTTCAAATGCTGAATTGTATTTCTTGATAAAATTTTGAATCCTTTCTTTTTAGGAAAGAAATATGATTATGAAAAACAGCACAGTGATGTAAAATTATATCATCCCCCCCCAAAAAAAAAAAAAAAAGAGTACAGGGCATTGTACTATACCAATTGATGGATAAGTCCGATATGCGAAGCTGAGCCTTGCCCAGGCTATACCTGTGTCAACTAATGTCAATTCGCTAACGTGTGTCAGCTGGTGCTGACTCGGCTTAGTCCTTACCCGCTATACCCAGCCCCAGCAGTAATCTCTAGGTGACAATTGCAACTTTTTGCGCCTGAGCGGGGCATGAACCATGAATCCTCGGATGAGAGGCCGACATGTTACCACTGTTCTAGCCCGGTGGCTCTGATTTATGGTAAAGCCTTATTGTTATTGAGACTGGAATCCTATGTCTAACCATCAACTGATTTTATTTTCCAAGAGGGGTATCACATTCCTAGATTCAAGTGGACTAATTTTAGTAACAAATCCATGTTGTAAATATTAAAGTCACCTTGGTAAACAGACAATTATTTAAATTTCCTTTTTAGGGAAAGAGAGAGAGAGAGGAATGGTATACAGCATCCTGAGAAGTACAGCACCTCAAATTTAATCATGCAACAAAAGCTAAATGAGGCTCAGCCAGAGCTAAACACCAAGGGACCCATCACTTGGTCCCTTAACAGGCCCCTTATAATTTTGAGGTTTGATGAAAAAAAAACATATATGACAGATAAAAAAATAATTTATTTGTTTGAACTTAAGCAAATATTACTTTTCCCCATAAAACACATTTGAAAAAAGTACATTCTTGCTAAATAAAATTACTAGTTTACAATGACTAGAAATAACATTAAAATTACATAAATTATATATACATTAATTTTGTCTATTTATTTTTGTATTCTTTTAAGTATCAACTCTGTTAAAAAGTATTACTGTTTACTTAAATACTAAAGATACCCAATACTGACTAAAATAAAACAGATAATACATTTCATTAGGTCAATTACATTCCGATGGCGCTTGTGTGCCTGTCACAAAATACGCCATTCTTCAGGCAATAATCATTCTCTTTTTCCTTCATGTCAACCGCTGATATCTCTAGACTCAAAGTTCTCGTACACATTTCTTATTTTCTTCTCCTAAAGCATGGGTTATAGTAACACTTACACCTAACACGCTAGTTTCCGCCTCACCACCTCTGAGGCTAGGGGAGAATGGAAAAATCCGATCATGATTTGTTGGTAGGAGCTTTGTCTATGAATGATCACATAAAACCCTGAGTGTATAAAGTCCCATAGAGGTCTTTTATATTTCTTGATAAGTGATGCAGGGTGCTGAAAGGATACTAATAATGATTTTATAAATATTGTTCTATGCATGTATTCCTTGTTCCAACACGAGGCTGATGATGACGCTGAGAAAAGGGGCAAGTTTTGTGTCTAAGAACATTTGAAAGGAGAGCGCGAGCTGAGTCACGCTCACACAAAGCCATTAAACTGAGTCAATATGTCTCTTTTGTAAGAATTTGTATAGACTTTACACACTGGGTACATTTTTTGTCATGAGAAATTAACATAATCCTTTTCACAATTTCTCTGTCTGTCTGTCTGTCTCTGTCTCTTCTCTCTCTCTCTCTCTCTCTCTCTCTCTCTCTCTCTCTCTCTCTCTCTCTCTCTCTCTCTCTCCCCTCTCTCTCTCTCTCTCTCTCTCTCCCCTCTCTCTCTTTCTCTCTCTCTCTCTCTCTCTTTCTCTCTCTCTCTCTCTCTCTCCCCTCTCTCTCTTTCTCTCTCTCTCTCTCTCTCTCTCTCTCTCTCTCTCTCTCTCTCTCTCTCTCTCTAGCAATAGGAAAGTTACCATGAAAGAGCAAGCGTGCGGTATAAAGAGCGTAGTGTATATACCTTTGGACGACTGATTAGCATTCACAATATCCACTTTGGTTCTAAGAAAACATTCAAGACATTAACGCACGCTGCCTAAGCTATGTTTCTTTCATATCACCGTTATAGTAGTAAGAGAATC